GCTTGGCTGTAGAAAAGTGAGCTTTGAAGGCTGCGATAGGGAAATGGCTCAACGGCCCGTGTGGATCCGGCATGCGTGCCTTATGAGCCAAACGCAGCGCACCCCCATCAGGAACGGGGCGTACGTATAAACCGGTGGGACAAAGACAATGCCAAGTAGGGAAGAAAAGCAGCCGCCGCCGCAGCAGCAGCAGCAGGTAGTTAGTGCGGCGGGATGCCCTGTGCGCTGGCGCCACAAACATTCAACCACCGCTTGCAAATTAGCAACGCCGACGCCGCTCCACCCTCTCGCACGTGAGAAGGCTTAATTTTTTTTTAAACAATCAAAGTTCATCAAAGCTTTGCCCCCTGCTCCCCCCCCTCTCTCTCTGTGTACCAAAGGAGAAGAAAGTGTTCGAAATGGGGCGGGTGGGAGAGAGACACAATTCAGCCTTGAAGCCGAAGCCACTGACTTTGCTGAACTTAGAAAATGAGGACCTGAGCACGTGGGAAAGTGCTGAAACTTCACCTCCTTTGCCCAACGCGCAATTCTCCTCCAATGGAGCACTTCTTCACCTCTCCGGTGGCTTTAACTTATAGATTCCGAGACAGGGGTAGAAACGGAAAACGAGGAAGCTAGAGGGATCGACCGTATGATCACCCGGGGGAGGGGGGGAGATATCGAGTAGGGTGGCTGCTTCTCAGCGAGATCGCTCAGAACGAAACCTGAGTGGAAAAAGGGGTACGGTAAGCGCGCCCAGGTTTACAGCCCAGAATGGGTGCCCAGCTTAAAATGAGGTTGGCTTAGTTGTGGGTCGGGGTTTTAACAAGTCACCCACACAGCCAGCCAACATTGTACGAATTCATCAGGGAATCGGAGCAGCTGAGCTCGGATCAAGGCAGCTGCAGACGTCCCAAGCCTTTTTGGGGGATGGGGGTGGCAGGCACAGCGCGTTGCGGACGACTGATCAGACCCAAGCTTTCACCCGAAAACTGGCCGGCAGATCCGAAGCGAGAACAGAGAAGGTGCCCCCTGAGCATCCTTTTTCCGCCAGCCCCGATCCGATTCGGCAGCGATTTCCATCACAGAACCTGAACCCAACTCCCGGAACCTCATCGCCTGCACGCATCGGGAAGAGGAAGGGGGGGCAGAGAAGATTGCCCCAGGCGAACCCCCCCCATCCCGATCCCCAAGACACACGCTTCCCCCACCACCACCACAATCTCTGCAACCCCCGCTGTTGGGAGCGCGGGAAAGGGGTGTCCCCTCGGAGTCGCCTACCTCGCACTTCCCAGCGCAGCAACAGCGGCAGCAGCAGCAGCAACAACGGCAGCCCCCGGAGACCGACGCCCCCGAGCCGCCTCATGGTGGCGAGCGACCCCTGCCGCAGCTTTCGCCTTTGCCCCGGCGAGCCTTTCCCGTCCTTCGCAGCCGCAGGAAAAGAAAGTTGAGCGCTGCGGGTCGGGATTGGCAGCTGCCTTTCGCCCTTCGCCCGGACTCCGCCGGCCGACTTGGCTCCGGCCGCCACCAGGCGCCAGGACCGGTCTCAAGCCTCGTCGTCGGCGCGTCGGGGCTGCTCTCGGCGGCCGCCTCTTTGCTCCGTCTCCCCGCGCTACAAGAAGCGACGGCGAGATCGGGGCTCGCTCCAGCTGCCCGCCCCCGGCCCTGCCCTTGGAGGAGGAGTCCCGCCGGGGCAACCTCCGCCCTCGCTTCTCGCCCACAGCGGCAGTCGCCGCTCTAGAGCTTGGCGCGCTTCCCAAGCTTTTCCAGGCGAAAGCGTGGTAGGCACCCAAGCGCCTCTGCCTCGCTTTCCTAGCCTCGGCCAGATTCTTCTTCCCCCGCTATCCTCCCTCATGCGGCCGGGTGATCCCACCTGCCCCGCTTACAAACCCAGTCACAGCCGTTTGTTAGAAGGGCTGCTGGCTTTCAGCGTCGCCGCTCTCCTGGTAAACTCCAAGGCAAGTGACTTCCGGCGCACTTCCAGGAACCTCCAAGTTGCACAGTCCCCCCAAAAAAGATTAGCTTCAATTAAACTCCTTCATTCCGCGGCTCCATTTGCTTTTTCTACTGTCCTGAGAACAAGGACCCATAACAGAATTGGCCAGATTCGCTGGTTCATTCCTTCACTCCCTTACTCATTCATTCATTCATTCATTCATTCATTCATTCATTCATTCATTCATTCATTCATTCATCATACTCCAAATCGATCATATAATCAGCTGAAATAAAGTAAGCTATATGACAAGACTAAAATATCCTAGGTAGCTGAAAATGAACTGTACCAATAAAATAGTCCCAAGGAAAACAATAATAATTCAGCATGTTGTTAAACCACCAACTATGAAACATTGGCTTGTCCCTCCTGCTTAATGGTGGATTTTTTTCACTGTAACTTATGTAATGATTGACCAAGATCCTTTTCCGCTTGACCTATCCACAATTCTTCTAATAAAGTATTCTAATATCTATCCACAGTTCTAGCAATTTCTTTTTCTGACATGATGCTGCCTTATCCTCAGTTTATTCCTGAGACATCTTCAACTTATTGTTAACTATGTCAGTGTTTTCCACTTAAAGCAAGGAACAAACCATGGTAGTTTTGCCAGTAGTACATTCTGAAGCACTTCTCAAACTATTTGGTGACCTCTAGAGGGTGGGATCAGCCCAGCACCTATTGGCTGCCTAAAGGTGTGTATCTCACTCCTTCCGGAATGATTACAGGTAGCTCACAGGTTACAACCACTCCTTCAGTGGCAGTTCAAAGTTGTGACAGCACTTAACAAGGGGGACTCATGGCTGGGTCTTTGAAGTTGCGGCCATCACAGCACCCTGCAGTCACATGACTACAATTTGGATGCTCTGCAATTAGCTCACAATTATAACAGTTGCAGCATCTCGCATCATGGGATTGCCATTTGTGAGCTTCCCTGCCAGCTTCCCCAAATGAGGAATCCTGCAGGACTCACTCCTACTCCTGCCCTTTTTCTCCCAAAGAGCCGCAAGTATACTCTGTAACCCCCACACTCACAACAGGGCCTACCTGCAGCACCCACTGGCCTGCTTGCCTGGGATGCAGTTTCAGTGCCTCTTCTAATATCACAGTTTACATGAAATCCTTGTTAAGGACCTCCACAGTCTTCACTTAATGGTAGCAACAGAATATGCCAGGATTGCCAGCGCTAAGCAAAGGGGTCATGTAACATCATGCTTTTTGACCAAATCAGAATTTTGGTCCCAGTTCCTGTCCTAAGGCAAGGATTACCTGCACGTGGAGGAAGAGCCATGGTGGCGCAATGGTTAGAGTGCAGTACTTCAGGCTATTTCTGCTGATCACCGGCTGCNGGCTTTAACTTATAGATTCCGAGACAGGGGTAGAAACGGAAAACGAGGAAGCTAGAGGGATCGACCGTATGATCACCCGGGGGAGGGGGGGGAGATATCGAGTAGGGTGGCTGCTTCTCAGCGAGATCGCTCAGAACGAAACCTGAGTGGAAAAAGGGGTACGGTAAGCGCGCCCAGGTTTACAGCCCAGAATGGGTGCCCAGCTTAAAATGAGGTTGGCTTAGTTGTGGGTCGGGGTTTTAACAAGTCACCCACACAGCCAGCCAACATTGTACGAATTCATCAGGGAATCGGAGCAGCTGAGCTCGGATCAAGGCAGCTGCAGACGTCCCAAGCCTTTTTGGGGGATGGGGGTGGCAGGCACAGCGCGTTGCGGACGACTGATCAGACCCAAGCTTTCACCCGAAAACTGGCCGGCAGATCCGAAGCGAGAACAGAGAAGGTGCCCCCTGAGCATCCTTTTTCCGCCAGCCCCGATCCGATTCGGCAGCGATTTCCATCACAGAACCTGAACCCAACTCCCGGAACCTCATCGCCTGCACGCATCGGGAAGAGGAAGGGGGGGCAGAGAAGATTGCCCCAGGCGAACCCCCCCCATCCCGATCCCCAAGACACACGCTTCCCCCACCACCACCACAATCTCTGCAACCCCCGCTGTTGGGAGCGCGGGAAAGGGGTGTCCCCTCGGAGTCGCCTACCTCGCACTTCCCAGCGCAGCAACAGCGGCAGCAGCAGCAGCAACAACGGCAGCCCCCGGAGACCGACGCCCCCGAGCCGCCTCATGGTGGCGAGCGACCCCTGCCGCAGCTTTCGCCTTTGCCCCGGCGAGCCTTTCCCGTCCTTCGCAGCCGCAGGAAAAGAAAGTTGAGCGCTGCGGGTCGGGATTGGCAGCTGCCTTTCGCCCTTCGCCCGGACTCCGCCGGCCGACTTGGCTCCGGCCGCCACCAGGCGCCAGGACCGGTCTCAAGCCTCGTCGTCGGCGCGTCGGGGCTGCTCTCGGCGGCCGCCTCTTTGCTCCGTCTCCCCGCGCTACAAGAAGCGACGGCGAGATCGGGGCTCGCTCCAGCTGCCCGCCCCCGGCCCTGCCCTTGGAGGAGGAGTCCCGCCGGGGCAACCTCCGCCCTCGCTTCTCGCCCACAGCGGCAGTCGCCGCTCTAGAGCTTGGCGCGCTTCCCAAGCTTTTCCAGGCGAAAGCGTGGTAGGCACCCAAGCGCCTCTGCCTCGCTTTCCTAGCCTCGGCCAGATTCTTCTTCCCCCGCTATCCTCCCTCATGCGGCCGGGTGATCCCACCTGCCCCGCTTACAAACCCAGTCACAGCCGTTTGTTAGAAGGGCTGCTGGCTTTCAGCGTCGCCGCTCTCCTGGTAAACTCCAAGGCAAGTGACTTCCGGCGCACTTCCAGGAACCTCCAAGTTGCACAGTCCCCCCAAAAAAGATTAGCTTCAATTAAACTCCTTCATTCCGCGGCTCCATTTGCTTTTTCTACTGTCCTGAGAACAAGGACCCATAACAGAATTGGCCAGATTCGCTGGTTCATTCCTTCACTCCCTTACTCATTCATTCATTCATTCATTCATTCATTCATTCATTCATTCATTCATTCATTCATTCATCATACTCCAAATCGATCATATAATCAGCTGAAATAAAGTAAGCTATATGACAAGACTAAAATATCCTAGGTAGCTGAAAATGAACTGTACCAATAAAATAGTCCCAAGGAAAACAATAATAATTCAGCATGTTGTTAAACCACCAACTATGAAACATTGGCTTGTCCCTCCTGCTTAATGGTGGATTTTTTTCACTGTAACTTATGTAATGATTGACCAAGATCCTTTTCCGCTTGACCTATCCACAATTCTTCTAATAAAGTATTCTAATATCTATCCACAGTTCTAGCAATTTCTTTTTCTGACATGATGCTGCCTTATCCTCAGTTTATTCCTGAGACATCTTCAACTTATTGTTAACTATGTCAGTGTTTTCCACTTAAAGCAAGGAACAAACCATGGTAGTTTTGCCAGTAGTACATTCTGAAGCACTTCTCAAACTATTTGGTGACCTCTAGAGGGTGGGATCAGCCCAGCACCTATTGGCTGCCTAAAGGTGTGTATCTCACTCCTTCCGGAATGATTACAGGTAGCTCACAGGTTACAACCACTCCTTCAGTGGCAGTTCAAAGTTGTGACAGCACTTAACAAGGGGGACTCATGGCTGGGTCTTTGAAGTTGCGGCCATCACAGCACCCTGCAGTCACATGACTACAATTTGGATGCTCTGCAATTAGCTCACAATTATAACAGTTGCAGCATCTCGCATCATGGGATTGCCATTTGTGAGCTTCCCTGCCAGCTTCCCCAAATGAGGAATCCTGCAGGACTCACTCCTACTCCTGCCCTTTTTCTCCCAAAGAGCCGCAAGTATACTCTGTAACCCCCACACTCACAACAGGGCCTACCTGCAGCACCCACTGGCCTGCTTGCCTGGGATGCAGTTTCAGTGCCTCTTCTAATATCACAGTTTACATGAAATCCTTGTTAAGGACCTCCACAGTCTTCACTTAATGGTAGCAACAGAATATGCCAGGATTGCCAGCGCTAAGCAAAGGGGTCATGTAACATCATGCTTTTTGACCAAATCAGAATTTTGGTCCCAGTTCCTGTCCTAAGGCAAGGATTACCTGCACGTGGAGGAAGAGCCATGGTGGCGCAATGGTTAGAGTGCAGTACTTCAGGCTATTTCTGCTGATCACCGGCTGCTAGCAATTTGGCAGATCAAATCCCACCAAAGTTGACTCAGCCTTCCATCCTTCTGAGGTGGGTATAAAGAGGACCCAGATTGTTGGGGGCAATATGCTGACTCTGTAAACCGCTTAGAGGGGGCTGTAAAAGCACTGTGAATAGTTATATAAGTTAAGTGCTATTGCTATGTTTGGAAGGGAGAGGGACTGGATCTTTTAGAAAGGTTCTCCTCCTCTGTACCTACCAGATCTCAAAGCTGATACTCAGTTTTAATATCT